TAAATTACTATTATCTAAAGAAGTAACTACTTGTCAATCTATTCGGGATCAAGTATTAAATTGTAATTAGACTACAGATTTTTATGCAAATACATATATGAATATAACAATTTAATATATATGCAGAGCATCAGAGAACAGTGCTTTATGTCTTGCGTTGGTTGATATTAAATTTGGTTGTAGCTGAGTATTATACATTTTATTGTATAGAAGATTATATAGAAGTAAGAATGTAACTTAATAAGAAGTATAGAATGTAACATTAACGTAAATTTAATAGAATATTATAATAAATTTCGTTTATACGAATTATAATTAATATTGGATGTCATGTATACGAACTTAAAATTGATCAACTACTGTTATTTTTCTGGTACTATCTGTTGTATCGCAATATGCATATGAAAAATATAGAGATTACGTAAGTTATTAAAGTTTTCTACACGACGATTCTCATGCGATATGCGACATCGGTATTGTGTATTGCGAAAATCTCGATCGACGGCGATACTTAACGATGTTGGTAGCGAAAATAAACAAATCGCACTAGTGGAATGGGAGAGTAAAATGCCACAGATTTAATTAAGTATTATTAAAATGAAACATTTAAAAAATTGTTTAAATAATATAATACGTCTTGCGTGGCTTGATGCTATTTAGAAATAATTTTGCGTTGGTTTATTTGAATAACAGATGGTTTACCACAAAATTATTTTATTACTCGGCTATCAAAATAATTTTTTGTTTTTGTGACATTTGCCGACGTCTTGAACTAATTCATACGTTACTGCGGGTCCTTCGCGCGTGTTCAAGTTCTTCTATATCTCATTTCAAAGTTCCAGTTCAATTCTCTCTCTTTGGCTGGCGACCAAGATGAGTTAACCTCATCTAGTGTCGAGTCCCTGCAGTGTTCGTCTTTAATATGTAAAAATTCCGAAAGATGTAAAAGCAAGCGAACGCAGCTAACCAACGAATCGATGGCGATCACCAGGTTAAGCGCGCAGCGTGCGGATCAGCAGCCCAAGGACAGATGATCGTTCCCATGACCAGCCTAGATGCCCCTAACAACCAAGCGTCTAGGATAGGAGTCGCTACTATCAGCACCACTGATGAGTCTAGTGGCGACTCTGAGACGAATCGTATCTTTATCCTATCTTACTGATCCCAAAATCGTCGCGTTTTCATAGCGCAGAAAGTGCTAATTTTTATTAAAGTACCAGTGGCCTCTCTTGGGACGTGACAGTTTTATTTTGTATTTTAAATTTATTTCTATGATTAATTCCTCAAACACTTTTTGATTTTATTAAATAAACTTGTAGGAGACGAGTTTCTCTGGTCTTTATTCTACTGCTAGGGCCAATGAACGTATAAACGTAATATGAGGGATACATCTCTGGGCAGTACCGTTAAGTCCATAAAGTAATTGCGAGAATTATTTATGAGGCTGACTTCGGCTGCAAACGTCTTACCTTCCCAATCACGCGATCGGGAATGACACAAAGAGGGTTGGCCTTATACAACGACCGACTCCAACGCGCCGCGTTGTTCTTCCAAAAAATTTCCCAATCAATTTTCGAGCAAGGAAGTTGATCAAATCTTTTCATTCGCAGTGATCAGTGAAAAAGTGTGTAATAACAAGTGACAACCAAAACTTCCACGCTCGGAGAAAACATACCATCAGACACCGTTACAAACAACAAACCTGGACTGCGCACCTACAGGCAATGCATCCACATAGACGGTGGTAGAGAAAAGCCACAGAAGAATAAGCTAAGATTATCACCTCAAGTGTCACATGCCTCTCAGATTCACCTCTTATCGCAACCATGCAGCAAGATGTGGAAAAATATCAACCAACCAAATTTTTGTCAAAATTGAACGTGATATTCATATTCATCACATCAAATCGTATATAATGAAGTATGATATGTGCTGAAATCTTCGGGGAAGGGGCAATTGTATGGGTCAGCCGAATTCTTTATTAGTAATACACAAAATACCCCAATATTCATGATACAATCGGGAAGGAAATAGTTCTATGGAGAAAAATAAATCGTGAAATATCAAGGTGACGCCATTTCGAATTCAAATAATGTGACACAGTGTGTACGTATGAGGTTTTATTTATATCCTTGTTTTTATTTAACTATTGTTAAAGATAGTGCAGCATATTTAGAATTCTAGTTTGTTTAAGATGAATAAGGATAATTATAGCAATGAAAAGAAAAGTACGTAATATTATATGGAAACTAATATGTTTCTATACTTGAAATTGTAAGTAATAATAAAAAATAAAAAGTATTTGGAACTTTGATCTAATTGAAGAATGACAAAATAGCGATATTGTTGCATTGTAGGTAATTTCGGATAATTGTATGCCAATTTGCTTTCACTTTATAAAATTATAAAAACATGTAATAAAATTATTTTCTTTCCCGATTTAAATTGATATTAGTCACAAGAAATGTTATTAGTTAAGTAAATAGCTACTTCAAGCTCGTTTCTATTATAAGATAAATGGAATTATTACAGATTCTGTTGAGTTTTAATCTCCATTGAAAGTCCTCCTTCTTGTAGAAAAAGAGGAAGTACTAAAAAAAGTAACGCAGGGAATTTCAGTAATTGAAGACGGTCTTGGAAGGATTTTTTCTTCAATCGATGCGAAGTTCTCTCTTTGAACAAAATCATCACTACGTTATGTAATATTTCAAACTATATCACAGACTAGGTATTTACCTAGATTACCAACATTCACTTCCGGTATTCTTCCAATTAGCAACATAGCATTACAGTTTAAAATATCATGCTACATTTTGTATCCTTGAATTATTCTCGCAAAATTGATAGGAAACTGGAGAATTAACGTGCAAATGATTAAATTAAATGATTCATTCTAAAATTTCAACATATTTTTACTATGATTGCAATGATTGAATGTTTGCTAAAATCTTTCACAAATTGATGTTTCTTAATTGCCCGTAGATTAAGTCGAAACGTTAAAATTACAGTTCGTTTACAAATGTCATTGATTAGCAGGATTCGCTTCTATTATGTCCGATGCTGTATATTAGATGCAATTAGTACTTTCTTAGATATTTCAGATGTTCTAAGTTACCAATAATTCAAGTGCGCTGCATTTCTTCTATAATATATAATATAATATATAATAATAACATAATATGACATAATAATATTATTGTATTTATTTATCGTAAGAAATTACGCGAAGAACGATTGAGCATAGACAGTGAGTGAACGTACAATTAAATATTCATTAAATACGCATTAAAAGGCGTAAGCAATTGTGAAAATGCTCCATTCGAATTTTTAAACATGTTATTAATCTTACATTGTGAAAAAAGAAAATATAGAGAAGCAAACTTTAAGATTTTGTATGAAGATGGTTTGAGGTTTGCCACTTATAGAACTATAAATATAGGACAAGGAGCGTAAATCTCCAGAGTATTTTGTTTGAAGTATGGATAATTTTTTTAAAGTATTTCGTATACTTTAAATATTAGTAGTATCTCCATATTGCACGTTACCACGAGTCCTTGTTAATACAGACTGCACTGTGATTGCGTCTAGACTACTTCTAAAGTTTCAGATGCTAATGCAATACTTAAAAATTGTTCCTAAAGAAACGAATGCATTGTTGTCCACTGGGTCAATACAGATACATTCTACATACATCATATCATCGAGCACAGATACACAGCATAAGAGAATACGTGTATAAGCAAGCATATATTAGCATTGAAAATCTAGATCATTACAAACAACTTCTCCAGCGCCCAAACGTCTTAAAAATCCGGGGTAGCTAAAGTATTTTTCAAACAATTAATTATACCGGAAAATACTTCAGACAATTGAAAGTTGAATGGTTTCGAGAGGAACATTGATTCAATTTTAATGTTAATGCACGGAAGGCGTTTGAAAGTCATGTTTGCTTTTTTAAGGGAAATCATATATTTTTTGATACATTAATCGATTCAACTTATCATCATGTAAAAATTGAACCATTTATACCAGTTTCATACCATTCATTCAGGAGATACTTTATTTAAAGTAATTCGGAGTAATACCTGTAAAATCTATCTGTAATAGCATAATAAGGGAAGAGTAATCTATCTGTAATATCTGTAATAAGTAATAAGGGAAGATAGCGGCCTACAGTCCCTCGAGTAGAAGTTTCGAACACCGACTCGTATAAGCCGCAAATAGCTGTGTGCCTAGTGTCGAAGTCTAGCGATCTTCGATGTTAAGCAGAGTGCGGAACAACCGCCTATGATGGGTCGCCAATCGTCCAGTTTAGCGAGTAGTTATAACAACACGCGTCTGGGGCAAGGGATCGCTGCCATCAGCCCCACAACGCACAACAAGCTCTCCTCACCTTACTCATCACATTCCGAACATTCATCTTCCTCCATCCTCGCACCATCAATCCTAATCCTTCCACACTCCTAATCCTTCATTGTGTAATGTTTAATTGTGTAACATTAATTATCTATTATGATTAGAATAAACCAAATATTTATTTCACTATTTTACGACAATTAGTACTAATTGTGCTCAAAGTGATAAGAAAACGTATCTTAACATTTCTATAATCTATTTATAAAAAAAATATTTCCTATTATTTAACGTGAATGTAGTAATATTTAGATATCATTTAAAGGAACAAATTTAATCTTTAAACGCTTTCTATGAATCTATTAGAAAATAATAATTATATCAATTAATGCCCCTCTCGAAATCATTCAATTTTTTCGATATATTGTTTAAATAATATTTTAACTTCTAATGTAAATCTTAAGTGATTTACCCGATATGCATAAAATATGTGTCTTCTTTTATAAATTTTAAATACGAAATTCATGAATATGTGAAGAGAGTTTGATATTTATTTGTATTAATACATATTACAATAGTTCGATATTATATACAATATCTGGAGTGGGAGATATATATAAACGCAATTTCCGTACACTCATGTTCTTAGTAATACAAGAAAAAATAGCACTGAGTTACTTGTTCTTAGATATCTGTAGTATTTGAATCCAAGAAATATTTGCCTAGTAAGTAGCAACTCGAATTTTTTTATCCGAATATCCGAATAAAATAATAAAAATATTTGCTATTAATGGATGCCTCTTCTCGCCCTAATAAATCATTTTATATGTACAATAGAATTTTTTACGTGTTTTTTATAATTTCAAGAAAAATTACTGCAATATGATAAAATGATTTTACTAAAAAAAAAGGAAGAAAAAAAAAGAAATGTAATAAACCGTCTATGGTTGTTGTAAATGTTATAGGCAAAAATTGAAACAAAGAACGTGACTTTTTACATTAAAACGTTTAAAACATTTAAAAGCAGTGACTTCTTACATTAAAACGTTTAAAACATTTAAAAGCAGCGTGAAATATTTATTAATCTCAATAATTAGAAAATTCAATAGTAAAAGAAAACAATCTGGTATTCTTGAATATCAAAATAAACTCAGTATTTTCTTGATCTCCATTTGGGTACATGCAACTTAATATGAGAGAAATGATTATTCAAATTATTAATTATCCGAAAATTCCATTAATCGAATACTTTTTGTTATCGTCATTAGCTTAATATCTTTTTTTTTATTGCTCCATTAGTTTTTGTCCATTGAGGACATTTGGTAAATTGAGTTATTGGTGTTCGGCGGTAACACGTACGTAGATGTTATTTTCAGTAGAAAAGACATCGTCATTGTAGTAGGAGGTCTTTGGGATGCTTTCTTTGCAACCTCCTAGGCATGTTAATGTTGTATAGTTGGAAACTATAATTTATAGTTTTTGCGTTGTCTTATAATTTCTTCTGCGTCTGTTCTAATTTTTAAGTCTGCGAATTTTCGTCATTTCTAACGTACCACGGTGCGTTTGTAATTGTTCTGAGGACTTTTGACTGCATTGCTTCTAGTAAGATTATGTGGCTCTTGGCCGCCATTCCCCACACTTCAATGCCATAGGACCAAATAGGCTTGATGATTGATTTACAGATGAAGATTTTGTTGTCTAGGCTTCGTTTAGAGGATTTGCTAGTATGCCAATGCATACTTTGACTTTTAATTCGAATTTGATCGATGTTTGAGCGTATATAATGTTTCCACGTTAGTTTGAAATCTAGATGTATTCCTAAGTATTTGGGTCCTTTAACTTGCGGTATCCTGGTGTTATTTTGTGTAATCGGGGGAACAGTGCCTTAGTATAAATGTAATGTGTTTATATTTATCGGTATTTACTTTGATCTTCCATGAATTTAACCACTCCTCGATTTCAGCAAGGTGCTGTAATAACTGTGACGCTAGTTTTGGGTCTTGATGAGTGACTGGGATACTCGTGTCGTCTGCAAATGTGTATGTGTCAGTATCTTCCATGGTGGGAATGTTTGCTGTATATATAGTATGTGGCCGGCTTAGATGCTGTAGATATATAAGATTGCAGCCTGACAGTTAACAAAGAATGTGCGATCTTTCAAATATTATTTAATAGGCTGATGGTATGGCTGATAAGGAAAGTTTGTTTTGTTTTTTGTAAGAATCCTTAGTGCCAGACTTTGTCGAACGCTTTTTCTATGTTTAACAGGACGGTGTAATATTCGCTTGAGGGCTGAGGTGATATTATTTGTTAGTCTATGAATTTGCTTGATTGTAGCGTTTATTTCTGAACCAAACTGGTGTGGTGGGATAATATTTTGTTCGGTACTTATTTTTTTCATCTATTTAGAATAATTTTTTCTAAAAGTTTGGGAAAAAAAAATGAGTAATAGCGAAATGGGTCTATAGGAAGCTGGTAAGTTTTGTGGTACGTTTTTACCAGGTTTAAGTAGCTTTTCAGTGGATGAGGAAATACCGGTTCCTCAGTGTTGCATTAAAAATTATTGTGAGCATTCGGCTTTCGGCGGATGTTCTTTAATGATTTTGCCGTTTATTAGGTTGAAACCCGGTGTTTTATTCTTGATGACCGCGATAAGTCTTTTGACTTCCTTTACGGTAGAACTTGGGATGTCTTTGGTTTTAGTGGACGGTTTACTTGAGGCTGCTTTACTTGGATAAGGTTAGTAAATACATATAACTACAGTTGCTTCGATTTGTTTCGAAGTTTTTAAGGGTATGTTACAATTTGTTTTAGCAAGTAGGTACTCACTGGAAAATTCCCAGTTTGTGCTGTTGTTGCATAGTGTCGGTGTTGGTTGAGTGAGTATCGGTTGGTGAAAAATGTAATCAAAACCGACGAGTGATCAGAGGTGAGGTCGAAGCAAAAGTATACTTTGAAATGTGATTTGCTTAGGCCTTTAATTATTGCGAAATCTATAAGGGGATTTATTCTTAGTTGTGGGCCTATAGGTCGGGTCACCAGTTGCTAATGTATCTAGCGATAGTGAGCGTATTGCTATTCTAGTGCTTTGCATCATGGTGAATTTATTTTCGAGCCCCATAGAGTGTATTTGGCATTGTAGTCGCCAGAGGTAATGAATCTGTCGCCTAGTGATTGAAAGAAACTTGAATATTGCTGGACGTTTATTTTAAATTTAGGAGGACAATAAACTGCCACTAGAATGATGTTACTGTATGTTGTGTTGATTGTTATGCTAGCAGTTTGTAGGTAGCAGTTTGGGCTATTGAACCTGGAGATGGTGTTTAACATCGTTCTTAATTATTATGGCTGTACCGTCTTGGGCTTTCCCTAATCGGTATTTTATTATATATAATGTAATAAGGAATTTTAATGTGGTGCTTGCTTGTAACTCGAGCTTCTGCAACGAGTAATACGATTTTGTTGTTATTGAGAAAAATTTTTAGCTCGAAAACTCTTTGTGGGAGTCCGTTGAATCGCGTTCCATGAAACAATTTTTAGTATGATTGTCATTACTTGGTTTGAGTTGCAAACATATTTGTGAGAAGTTCTATCATTATGTTTATTTGTTTTGATAGCTGTGTTAGTAACTTTGTTTGTTCTATTAACATGGTACATACTAATTCAGTATTTTTAATTGATTGGTGCAGCAGTTTTTTTATCTCTATCATTTCTGGTACTGGGTTATTGTGGATTGTGAGAGGATGTACGCTGCTATTGTATATGTGTGTACGAATTGCTTCAGCGTAGGTCTTGCCGTTAGTGTTAGTTTGTTGGTTTGGAATGTTGTCATTATTGTATAGATTTAGAGTGTTTGTAAAGCAGTGGTAGAATTATTTATTACTGTTGGAATACAACGACTCGACCATCCAGCAGTGTAAGCCCATTGAAAATGGTTTTATGAGGGGCAAAGGTTAACATTTGTTTTCTATCCTCTTCTATTCTCTTCAGTTACGGACAGGACCATGCCGAACAGAAGGTTTAGTTCTTTGCTAGTCCTTGTCGCGTGACTACCTCATTTGTATCGCATACACTATTTGATTATTAACATTTCATTAAATAAAGACATTCGTTTCTTTTCCACACAGAAGTTTGTGTTATATTTTCACTACATTTCCTACAATTACAATTCTTGGTCTGAGCGTGGGATACAGCTTTTGTTGTAATTGTTTCCTTACTATGCAGCCTTTATAGTTAACGGGATTATTTCCCTGGTAATTAATGCATTTTACTTTGTCTGTTTTCCCTGTTAATGAGTAGTTGGAGATTAGGTATTTATCGGAACATTTGACACATGCAGGTGTTTTAAAGCAATAATTTTTAGTGTGTCCATAAGCTTGACAACTCATGCATTGCGATATGTCTTTCGTGGAGGTTTGAAAGTAATAAGAGTGCTTAGGAGTTTTTTAACTTTTTAAATTTAATAAAAATTCAATAAAAAGTAGTGGTAGTGGATGTTCTGTATCATATTTTACTATGTTGTTTATTTACATTACTCGGTTTAGGTTTTTTAGTCCATTGATGATTCTATTTGTATATATTGTCTCTAAATGCATCCCTCTAAGTACTTACCTTGTAGCTTCTGTCTTTTTTTAATTGATATGTATAATAGTTGGCTTTCTTAGATTTCAAGGCAAGCACTATTTTGCTGTAGATTTCAGTGATGTTAGCTTGAACCTTAACGTGATTATTGTTTCAGAGTGTATCTATTTGAAGGGTATGAAAAGTCACTATTGGTATCTACATATTTACATTCTATTTACAATTAATGCGAGGATGGAGGAAGGTGAATGTTTGGAATGGAACGGTTGTAGGGTAAGGTGATGGGTAAGGTAAGGTGAGGTAAAGTTGTAGCGTTTCGTCTCATAGTCGCTGCCTAAACTCATCAGTGGTGCTCATGGCAGCGACCCCTTACTTCAGACGCTTGTTATAATTCTACTCGCTAGGCTGGAGGGTCCACCCACCCATCCTAGCGTTCCGCACTCTGATTGCTTAACATCGAAGAATTCGACGCAAGACGCACAGCCACTTGCTGCTTGTATGAGTCGGTGTTCGAAATTTGCACTCGAGGGACTATAGGCCGCTACATATTATTTGCTGTTTCTTCTAGGAGATTTATTAAGGGTTTTCTTAATTTGGGCGTTAATATGAATTGGAGGAGGTTTCGTCTCGGTGAATTTTGATGTGATCTCTTCCAAGGTGTTTTCTGCAGTTGCTGGATTTTCTGCTAGAACATTAAATATATTTGAGATGGGTATATCCGTTAGTCACTTGACCTTGGTGAGTGCAAGATCCGTGTTGGACATCTCGTGTGGATAAATCTTTCGTTTTTTATTGTTGGTTTCCGCCAAACAGCTACTCATTGGTTTGTCGTTGTTGGTTTTTCTGTTAGTTATGGAAAAGCCACTCTTATTTTTAACAATTTTTAACTGTAGGGTGTTGATTTTTTCCATTTGAATTGAATTGCTAAACTTGCCAAATCGTTAAACTTGCTAAACGGCAAGTTTAACGATTTACGTACACTTTCACACACCTGAGTAGGTACAATGACAAGCGTTCGTACACAGTGGTAAATATTCTCTTCGCGTAAACACGCCCTGTCACAACAACTCTAGGCGAAACTGAGAGATGTATTAGATTTGATATGAAATTATTATGATATAAGGGGGCAGGAACGGAGTTCTTTCGGTTTTGTGTTTTTATTGGTTTTCGAAATATTAATAGAAGACTTTCGGTATATAATGTAGTTTTGAATTTTGCTTATACAGAAATGACTAATATTACGGTCAGTGCTGAACAGAATAGTATTTCAAATAAAATGTAAATATACAGGGATTATTTTTCATGTAGCCACCATATTCCTTTGTTTGAAATAATTGTTTGATTTCCTATTGATTAAAATATTATTTGAAATTTATTTGATTTTTACAAGCACATTGAAAATGCATTCCAATTACGTATTTTTCACGATGAAATAATTATGAAATAATTATTTGAAATGAATATTTCTCTTATCATTCATACAACGAAATATTCGAATATTATTTCTGTGAAACTACGTATAATTATTTATTCCTGTATATAAATGAAATTCTGTCTACGAAGTAGCTGTGTATCTTAGTGTCACGTTTATATAGTGAGTAGCAAAATTGAGTCAGTAACAAAAATTTAAAAAAAAAATATTTTTTATCGTTAAATAAAGTATAAATCATGAAAATTAACTTCACTATCTGATTCTTCATAGTTTTTTAGTGTTTACTTTATGAAACTGAAGCTATTTTTTAACTTTATGATAATGTTTTTTCCTGGTTGAAAAAATTAAAACATAGAATCAATTTTGCACCAGAATTTTGTTATAGTCAGATTTACAACCTTTATCATACCTTAATATTTTGTCCATAAGCCATTTGCTTAGATAATAGCTCTAATATTTTGTCTATAAGCCATTTGCTTAGATAATAGCTCTAATATGTTTTTATATGTATTTATAATACTTTCAAACAGTCTTGAGCAGAAATCAGGTGGCATTTGATTCCACTGTTCTGTAACACGAGCATGTAGTTCCACTATTGAGCTAGGAGATTTGTATGCGTCTCTCTTGGAATAATATTTAATATTATTAATTAATATTTGTGTTTTCTTCATAATTTTTTAGTTAATTTACCTTTGAAGTAATATTTGAAATAATCATTGCAAATTTCGGAGCATGAAATATTATTTTAAATAATAGTTTCTAATAAGCTTTAAATAATTATTGTTTTAATTAATAACTCGGGATGAAATATTAATTTTTAAGTTATTTTGCCTTGTTATCAAGGTATGAAGGTCACCTTCAATTTTTCAAATGGAATGGTTAATATTTCATCCCGAATTCAGATAAAGCGTTGAATTCTACATAAAAAAGTATTGCACCAAACAGGATCTAAAATACATAGTTACTGACATGTTAGCAAAAATATTTTTTTACATTTGTATTAGAAAAGACCGTTAATCTCAGTATCTTTGTATTTTAGATCCTGGTGTAATACTCCGAATTCGGGAAGAAACATTAACTATTCCGTTTAAAAAATTGAAGATGACCTTCATATCTTGATAAAAAAGCAAAATAACGTAAAATTGATTACAGTACTATATGTCCCCCTGGAAGCTACGCAACTTATATCTGAACAACAAAACTTTTTTCGTACAACAAATATTTTATGTGCTATTTCATGTCGTCACGTTACGAGACTCACCTTGTATATATTTAAGACGAATCTCTGTACAGGGTGTCAAGAAATGTTTTGTCGTGGCTATCATCCGTGAACTCTACATGCCCAGATCGATGAAGATCTATCAAAAGAAGTTTCCTCAAAAATGTCCTTGCTCGGTTTTTTGAAGGTCAAATTTTTTTATTCTACTCATCGACAAGATAAAATTCTCCAAGGAATCATGGGTTGTTCTCCTGAAAAATGATTACATATATCCAATTATTGTTAAACTCGCCATATATGTAATATGTTTATATTTTGCAATGAAATAGACTCTGCTATTGCATTTACTTAATTTCTTCGTCGAACACTTTTTCCACAAGGCAGCATCATCCTGTTTAGAGACAGCGTAATTATAGCGACAACGAAAGGTCTAATAGCTGAACTCTGTATCATAGTTGAAGATCATTTCAAAGTCGCAGTATAATACACTGCCATAGACTTGAATTCGTCTCGATATCAGCAACAATCTTATGATATGAAAAACATATGGTGCTATTAAAAAAAATTAGGGTGACCTTGACTTTTTTGCATAACATTATTTGAGATTTAAGAACATGATAATATGTAGCCCACTAAATACTAAAAAAAATTTTGTTTGAAACATGTTTTAATTGCACTACCGGAAATGCCTAAAAACTGGTGACAAATCTTAACGCGGACACTGCAGAGGGTGATTCACAAGTACGTCTTTTATACGTACGGCAGATAATACGGCAGGGTGGTGTTGGCTTGTGGAAAAACCGTTGGAACAAATGTTTGACTAAGAAATTAAGTAAATGCAACAGCAGAGGCTATTCCATTGCAAAATATAAACATATTACACATATGGCGAGTTTAATAATTGGATATATGTAGTCATTTTTTCAGGAGAACGACACATGATTCCTTGGAGACATTTTATCTCGTCGTTATGAGTAGAATAAGAGGCAAAAAAATTTGACCTTTAAAAAACTGGTCAAGGTCAATTTTACGGTCGACCTTTTTAACAGATCTTCATCGATCTGGGAATGTAGATTTCACCTATGATAGCCACGACAAAACATTTCTTGACACCCTGTACACTCGAACTTCTCTCGAGCACTGGCTACTTTTGAATATCATGTCGATCTTTCCTTATTGACAATTCCAATATGAATTATTGACATATTTCCATACATTGATTAGAATTTCGAGCTATTAAAAAAGATTGTCATTGATGATGTAATAAATAGTAAATATATTTATTTACATTTATTATTCGGCTCTCGATTGTCGTATTTTGTCAATTGGCCACCATCTATGATTATGATAGTGATAAATTTATACCTTAAATTTTCAAGGTCATGATTTTTACATATTTGAACATACTTTTTTATATGATACAATAAAACAAAGTATATAGTTGAAAATATGCAGTATATATTTATAACAAAGTATATAGTTGAACTTCAATGACCTTGAAAACTTGGAAAAATATGATCCTAGAAAAAAAATACTTTGACCAGTTATTCTTTCAATACTATTCATGATAAGCAAAAAATATTTTATATTATGTAGTATATACAAGCAACTGTGATAAGTCATATCTTTTTTCTGGTTGAAATAAGAAAAGATGTTAGAGAGAAAAATAGAATGGTTCGACGTTGAATCTAGCTGTTAATGATCTTTTTTTTTTTGTAAACAAATGCGGCATTTTGCAGTTGCATTTTTTTTCTAAATAGAAATCTGACTTTTGTTTCAAATATATCGAATATTTACATCATTTTACATAAAAAAAAAAAACTAAAATAGCAATACCATAAAATAATTAGTTTGCGAGATATTTTGAAAAAAATATTTTTATTTAAGGAAATGCTTAAATACTTTTTTATTACATTCTAAACATTTTGTACAACGTTTTCAATCGTTTTCATAATGGCATTGAGTTGACTTTTTGTAATTGCACCAATTGTATATGATTTATCCTTTTACGTCAACTGAAGTAAATGACGCTCGCTCAAATTAAATTTTCTAGAATTTTTTGTATGGGATTTCTTCTAAAGAATGCTCGCATCTATGCCAGTTTAATTATAATACTGATCAAGTGTACGTTGCAATGTAATATTTATAGGAAGAAAATTTAATGAACGAACTTTAGAAAAAAGAAGAATTATTATACAGTTAGTTATATGAAGATATAAATCGTAATGTTAGATTATAGAAATATTAGTGCTCAAATTGATTAGAATGTTTTATTACCATTAAAGTTCAATTTTTGTTCATAGTTGTAACTGTGGACAATACTTGTGAAAAAAAATCGTAAACTTTCGACTCGAAAACTGTGTATCTTCATAATACTGAAAATACGAGAGGTGCACGTATATAGCACTTTTATAATTTACTATGTTACCAATAAATACTAATTAGTAATAATGTTAATAACGATTGACAATAATCGAATGAAAACAAAAAAAATTTTAACTAAAACTCAGAAATTAACATGTTCTTTCCGTTTTGAAAGAAATTCTGTTCTTATATATTCCATATAAAGAAAGAAGTATCTGTTTTTGTTGAATTTTTCTAGAAATAAATGTTCAATGACACCTTTGAATAATGTTTTCATGTAACAAATATTTTAAAATTTATATAATAAAAGTTATTTTTAAATTTCTTTGAGATTTATTGATTGATAAAGTAATTCGTTGATAATAGAATATAACTCTTTACTCAATGACTTCCTTTAAAGAAATGTCTAAAATAACTGTTATTTTAGATCTTTGATTATAATTATTATTGTACACAAATATAAATATTAATAATTTTCAGTTTCAGAAATGTATATTTCAATAAATACTTTTCTCTGTTTTCAGTAGACTTATAGCAGAAGGCGTGTCCTTTTTCAAGTTTTTGACGGCCAACGGAGAGAGAAAAGATATATTCTGAAAATGGATGAATTAGTTTATGCATCAAACACTACAACTAGCTACACGCATCTCTTTAACTTCGAAAAAAATTTCGTTCCTCAGGATGCACAAATGTGGATGGAGGGCCATTTTCCGTATTGTTTTTTGTACTGTGCCCTTTACGCGATCCTAATTTCTGGTGGAAAGCTTTACATGTCAAATAGACCGAAATACGATTTGAGACGAGGGCTTGTAATGTGGAGCGCAAGTCTTGCATTATTTTCCATTACTGCAGTATACAGGACTATGCCGAGTATATTTCATCTAGTGCGACATCGTGGGCTTCACTACAACATATGTGTACCTAAGTAATTTTATTTTCATATCTTTCTTTATCAATTGTCATATTCTCGAATATCATTCATATAGAATCAATTGTAAACAATAAAAACTTTTTATGAATATTGAGTCATGTACAACGAAGTATTCTACGACAAATTAATTTATTCTAGAAGCTAACTCGTTATGTCATTCGTTAGTAGAATATAGAATACATAGAGATATATGTACTTATAAGTCTATATGTATCTATCGTTATAGAATACATAGAGATATATGTACTTATAAGAATATTACTATATAATATGGAAGAACACTAGCGTATCTAAATAATAATTAATTTTATAAAACCTTTATTGCAAGAGTATATATAATGCAATATATGTTATCAGTTTTNTAATAATTACATATACAAAATAAATAAATTATCAAATGGTTAAATTTGACTTAATATTCGTTCTTTATATGACTTCAACTAAATTTAGCTTGTCACTATAGTTTTCGTTCCCTTTGATTTTTCATTGTGTTAAAAAGAACATCTTGATAATTTAAAATAATTTTTAAAAAAAGAGATGCCAAATACTATTTCATATTTAAATCACTATTGCGTACCTATATCTGAAATTTCATAAAAGAATCATATATTTTTATAAGGATATTAATCAAGGCAGATTTCTCAAGAAGAATAAGGAAAATCAAATAATTAAATGATTTAGATCCTTTTCTTTCATTACGTTTCGTTTATTACGTTCGTAAACGTAGAAAAATCCATAAAAGTCCACGATCTGATCATCTTCTTTAAATTATATTTCATTGCAAGTATGCGCCATGAACTTTGAATTTATTAAAATATAATATCCTAATAAAAATATAATAATATTTTTTTCAGCATTAATGAAGATCTCATTCTTGGTTACTGGAGCTATTTATTTGCCCTGTCGAAGCTAGTTGAATTCGGTGATACATTTTTCATTGTGTTACGGAAACAACCGTTGATATTTCTACACTGGTACCATCACATCGTGACTTTTCTTTACTCGTGGCTCTCTTACGTGGAAGATGCAGCGTACGCTAGATTGTTTGCTTTTATAAACGGTTTTATTCACAGTTTTATGTATATTTACTACACCTTCAAAGCAATGGGATATCATCCGCCAAGATGGTTAGCCATGACGATCACTTTAATGCAATTATCACAAATGTTTGTGGGTAGTTTTCTAACTACAACAGCTTACTATTACGTATACATTGCCAAAGTTGAATGCCACGTTACACCGTTGAACATCACTGTTGCTGGGATCATTTTTTAGCTATGTCATTCTCTTTGCTAGATTTTTCGTACAAGCTTATCTGTCTAATAAATCTGCAAAGAACGTCAAAGAGAAGACCGATGCAAATAGCAAGCTGAAAGCTAACTGAAACGAGTACAAAGTTTTACATTGTTTTTTATTTTTCGTTTATAACTCATTTTTTCAAAATAAAACTTTCTAATAAAGCTTTCTTACATAATTTTTGATTAGACAACTAAAGCTTAATCTATTACTCAACTTAACTATACATAAAATGTCTTTGGGAACAAAACGTCGCGTAAATATAAAAATTTGTCTTTTTACATAAGAATACGACGAATCAAGTCGTGATCATTTTTAATAATAGATATTTCCTATTTATAACAAGTATTATATATTGTATAATATATAACTATTCCTCGCAAACAAATGTTGTACATGTGTAAATTTTCCACTTCTTAATGTATGACCAATATTTACATTTATTTCGACATAGTTGGAATGTTTGCTTTTTCTTATGTTGTTTTCTATGTATTGACTTTTCTTATGTATTGTGGTATATATCGTTTAATTACATTATATATTTTTTGTGAACAATGTTTTCGTTCTTCAATTATTAATTATCTTTATCACCGTATTTCCTAAATAAAAATATGTAGAGAGAATAAATAAAGAATAAATAAAAATATATCTTATCTATTTACTTACCTATTTATTTTTTCTTTTTTTATTGCCAATTGATACCCAAACCATTTTATGCTCAGGATGCAACCTGTACTTATAGTTGGTCATATGTTATGATTTCAGTCATCTAAAGTTTACATTCATACTAGGACAAAAATATCCACGAGATACTTATGTAACATTTTTTTATCATGAATAAACGTAGTCGAGGAAAAATGATGGAAATGTTTTTTAATCATTTAATACTGCAGACGCATGCGTGCAGTCTATTGCGACTAATGTTTCTAGACGTGAAAAAAACAAATTTGACTTTGAAATTCAAGATCAAGGTCAATTTTGCGGCAGATTCTTTACATATACATATTTCCATCGAAGGTGTTGAATTCATTGATTATAGTCACGGACAAACTTTTATTTCCACCCTGTACATTATTCTATTGAATACAATATCATCTCCTATTGAATATTTTACTTCCGATATCATGATTTTTTGTAATAATTTGATATTTTCCGGATATTGTGAACATAAAACAAAGCTATTCCTAATTCCTAAACAGAAAGTACGTCCGTAATTCAGATGTTCGATTTCACTTATTCATGAACTCACTTATTCGAATCTGAACTCACTTATTCGAATCTGAACCTGTTACAAGAATAGAGAAAATCAGTGAATTTTTGTTATGTAAACTTCAATTATAAAACTATTTGTATCCCGATAAGTTCATGAGAAACATTGTAATTTATGCAGAAATATAATATAATAGGCAGAAATAAAAAAATATTTTCAAAATCGTGTTTTTGATACAACTTATTTGATTTTGTTTAAATAGAGGTTTAAAGAATAGGTAATGTAATTACAGAATTTAAATTTGATATAATAATTGAGAATTTTTGGGCCATGACAGAGCTCCGCTGTAGCTTCATTTCTGCCTTACTAAGTTAATTGATCTTATTACAGTTAGAAAATTATTATTATTTGATTTTTGATTGAATGATCTTACCTTATTAACCTTTTTTTTATTGGTTCTTTCGCAATTTTAAACAAGGATAGCGCTTGTATGTTTATGCTCATGAATATTGCAATTTTTGCAGTTCTTAGATACTTTAGATGTTCTAAGTTGTGCTGAATATCTTCTATAATATACAATGTAATATATAATAATATAATATGACCTAATAATATTATTGTATTTATTTATTGCAAGAAACTGCGCGAAGCACGATTGAGCCCTGACAATGAGTGAACGTTTACAATCAAATATTCATTAGAAGACGTAAGCAGTTGTAAAAACGCTCCATTCGAATTTCTAAACATGTCATTAATTTTACATTGTGAAAAGAGAAGATATAGAAACGCAAACTTTAAGATTTTATATGAAAATGGCCACTGCGGATTGCCATTTATAGAACTACAAATCTAGGACAAGGAGCGTAAATCTCCAGATTATTTCGCTTGAAATACGGATAATTTTTTTAAAACTATTTTTTATTCCTTAAATATTAGTAGTATCTTCATATTGCACGTTACGAGTCGTTGTTAATACAGACTGCATTATGTTTGCGTCTAGACTACTTCTAAAGCTGACGCTAACGAAAACATTTAATATTGCTCTTAAAGAAACGAATGTATTGCTGTCCACTGTGTTAATGTAGATGCATCCGACGTAAATACGTTACATATTCGAAGCACAAGGCACACGCATACGGCATGGGAGAATGTGTGTATAAGCAAGCATATATAAGCATCGAAAAAAGATCACTACAAAAAATTTCCCTACCTTCAAATTGTCTTAAAAATCCGAGCAAATCCGAGAAAGCCCGAGTCCTAGATCTATATAGAAGAAGTCGCTTAAACCTAGTAGCTAAAATATTTTTCAAACAATTAATTATATCGAAAACACTTAAGACAGTATCGAGAGAGGTATTAAGTGATGCGATTAATATCTTTTAATGTTAATGCATAGAAAGCGTTTTAAGGTCAAATTTGCTTTTCTTGAGCAAAGTCATATATTTTTTAATATATTAATCGATTCAACTTAACATTCGCTATAAAAAAGTATTGAAACATTTATATCGGAGAACCATTAGTTCAGGAGACTATTTAATTAAAATAATTCGAAGTAATTCTCGTAGAGTGTCAAATTTATCTGTAATAGCAAATATTAGTAATAACAGGACACTGTGCAATGTTTAATTGTGTTAACATTAAATATTTATTGTGATTAGAATGAACAAAACATTTATTTCATTATTATATGAAAATTACTACTAAATGTGCTCAAAGTGATAAGTAAACATATCTTAACATTTCTGTAATCTACTTCTAAAAGAATATTTCCTATTATTTAACATCAGTGCGGTCAATATTTAGATATCATTTAAAGAAACAAATTTAATCTTTATACGCTTTCCATGAATCTACATTAGAAAATAATAATTATATCAATTAATGCCCCTCTCAAAATCATTCAATTTTTGTCTCAAAATTTTTTCGATATATTGTTTAAATAATATTTTAACTTCTAACGTGAATCTTAAGTGATTTACTCGAAGATGCATAAAATCTGCTTCTTCTTCTTTAAATTTTAAATATATATGAAATTTATGAATATGTGAAGAGATTTAGTTTAATATTCATTTGTATTAATGCATACTTCAATAGTATTCGATATTACAAAACATCTGAAGTGGGAGATTTATATAACGGCAACTTCCGTACGGTCACGTCCTTAGTTATGTAAGAATGTTTAGTTATATAAGAAAAAGAAGCACCGAATTACTTTCTCAGATATCTGTAATATTTGAATCCAAGGAATATTTGCCCAGTAAGTAGCAACTTGTAGTAGATTCTTTTTATCCGAATATCTGAACAGAATATTTACTCAGCAATGGATGCCTCTTCTCGTATTAAATCATTTAATCGGAGGAATGCAAATATGAAGAATTAGGCACAGAAGCTATTAAAAGAGCAGCAAGGTTTGAGGAGAAGGCAAGAATCAAAAAGGTGAAGCTGGTTTTGGAGTGCATAAAGGAGCTAGAGAGGGAGAGATGGAAGGAACTAGAAAGTAAGTAGGAACGAGAAAGAAGAGAGACCCTGGAGCAGCTAGGCCTTAAGAAGGAGGATATAAGGAGATTGAGAGAGGAGAAAGAAGTACAGAAGGTGATACAAAAGCTAGAAGATTACTTACTGAGGAACAGAAAAGAGGAAAGAGGCAAACGCATAGCAGACTCGAAATATAATGAGGTGTACAATAGAATCAAGACAACGAGAACTCCGATACACTTAACAAGAGAACTAAAGAAGAACAAAAGACACGATCGCCAAATTTAGATGCGGCAATCAATTCAGAGGAAGAATATATTGGAAAGCTGAGGTAGATAAAGCATGCAGACAGTGTGGAGAAGAGAGAGAATAAGAGGCAGAATATGTCATGAGAATACATGGGAAAGTAGGTGAAAACAGACAACTGGAGGACTTTCTGGACAAATATGGAAGAGGAGTGGAGATAATAGAGAAGATCTTGGAAGAAAGGAAAAAGAGTGCAATAACAGAGTTAAACACGTGATAAAAACTGGTACCAAAGAATACGAGCCAAAGTTATAATAAAGAAAGTAAAATGATAGGTTACTGAGAGAACGGAGGAATGAAAGGAAAAAATGGATAATTAGGCAACTAAGTTTAAGACAGGAGGTAGACGTAAGCACAAATAGATATTGATAGATAGTCAGTTATATCTAAGGAGACAGGTAGAGACAAAATCAAACTTAGACAACTAAGACAAAAGACAATTGCTCATTATTATTGACACAAAGTGGTGAAACTTGAAATTAAGAAAAGGATAGGTATAAGTTAAAAAAGAATATAAACGGGAACCATCCTAAGCCGCGAGGCAAGGATTATGTATTATAATAATTATCTAATAATATAATGTTAAATCATTTTATATGTACAATTGTATTCTTTTGTATTTTGTATAATTGTAAGAAAAAATTACTGCAATGTGATAAAATGATTTTACTAAAAAAAAAATGTAATTAATCTAAGTCTATGGTTGTTGAACATGTTATAGGCATAAATTGAAACAATGATTGTAATGAGAATGTGATTTCTTCCATTGAAACATTTAAAACATTTAAAAGCAGTGATGTGAAACACTCATTAATGCCAAAAATTAGAAAATTCAATAGTGAAAGAAAACAATGTGGTATTCTTAAATATCAAAAATAAACTTACTATGTTCTTGATCTTCATTTGGATACATACAATTTAATACGAGAGAAATGGTTATTCAATTATTAATCATCCGAAAATTCTATTAATCGAATACTTTTCTTGTCGTCATTAGCTTCATACCTAGATTGCGAAATTTTATGTAGTATTGTAGCGGCCTATAGTCCTTCGAATACGAGTCTCGAACACAGGCTTGTACAACCCACAAATGGCTGTGCGTTTAACGTCGAAGTCTAGCGATCCTTGATGTTAAGCAGAGTGCGGGACACCGCTAGGATGGGGATGCCCGTCCAGCCATTTATAAATTGTAAATGGCATGTAAATATGTAAATACCATAGCAACTTTTCAAGCCTTTCAGTATAGTAATAATAAAACTATACATATAGTAAAGCTGTATGCAAAAATCATGCAAACAATATGCAAGAAATATTCAGAAAATATAGAAACAATATATTATGCACGACATACACATGAATCTTACAATGTCTTACAATTTTGTTGTCATTGTAAATGAAACTGTATGAAGTTTATGCAATTATGTAATCTATTTTGTTTCTTTTGTCATTTCAAACGTTGTATAGAGTCTGTTTGTAGAATTTGAGGCACTTTTAAAGTACAATTTTCAAAGTAAATACGAACTCTCAACTTTGAGTATTTTTAATGTTTGTACCAAAGTACAGTCAAAAGAGCATTCAGTAATTACTTCCTCTTTTTTTTCGTTAGACAGGCAGCAGTGAGTTTTTACGAATCTTCCTCCGACCAGTGAAAGAATAAAAGATTTTCCAACATGGACATCCAACTGCATCCCATGGATCGTATGCAGGTCACATTGCCTAACTACTCCAATGTGTTGAATTTTGAGAAGAATTTTGTTTATGCGGGATAGTCAAGCGTGGATGTAAGATTACTTTCCAAACCTTTTCTACTATTGTGCCATTTACGTCCCGCTAATTTTTGGAAGACGTCGAACAAACCAAAATTCGAAATAAAAGGCATGCTTGTTTCATGGAACATAGTGATTGCACTATTATTATTATTGGTTTTAGTAGAATATCACCGGAATTGTACCACGTATTAAAGCATCATAGGTTCTACCACAGCATTTGTGGTAGAATGTTACCTAGGTAACTGCACTCCTACATCTAATTCTTTAACATATACTATTTTACTGTGGTACAGAGGTTACCTAGGTAACTGCACTCCTACACCTAATTCTTTAATATATACTATTTTACTACTTTATATTTGACATTTAAAACATTTTATTTTAAAAGTATAAAAATCCGAATAAAAATCAAATTGCGTATAATTGTTCATGATGTTAATTATAAAATAGTCTGTTTGTTAATCGTTCTACATCACAAAAACTTATTTGTTACAATTTTTATAGTACTAGTCATTCTGTAAATTATACTCTGTCTAATAACTTTTCAATTGAAAAGGGACGTAATATGTATTGATTCATTAGATTTGAACTTAAAGGAGTGAAACGTTCGAAAATACATTGATTATATGCGTGATTCTAAACATCAAAACAATGAAAATATTCACGTACAAAGTTAGACCAAAATTTGGACTTATTTTTAAATTATTTTACTTTAATTTAATTTTAGATTAGATTGGTTTATGTCGCCCATTCGCATGAAAAATAACACAACTCGCACATTCAATTTTTTAAAGATAGAATATTAAGAAATTAATGTTCAGTTTGATTGATTTAAGATAGGGATGGTTTTGAAACTAATTTCTAAATTCTTGAAATGCAAATCTGAACTGTGTAAAGTTTTGGAAACCATGAAATTTTCAAAACTCGAAACTCTCGAAATTTGAAGTGCTGATTTTATTTCATAACAGGGATTTCTTGTTTCAAGAACTTGAATCAATACTTTTATAACAATTATTCTTAACTACAATTAAACAAAATACAAACAAAAACATAAAAATATAAAAAAATATTTAATTCAGATTTTTGCTTAACACTAAAACTTCTGACAGCTAAAACATAAATTACCTATTAAGGAAGAAAATAAAGAAAGCTTTATAATGGTGGAATACACAAGTGTTTCTTTATAAATTTTACGAAAAATCACTTAAATCTCTAAAAATACATTGTTTTACATTTACAGAATGTATATTTACAAATATACAAATTGTAAATTAATTATTAGGAGCTTCATATTTTGAAATAAGGCCAAGTGAATTTTTGTGCGATTTTTATAAGTGATGTTAGAACATTTTAGATATTAATAGTTTCTCAAAAATTGAAAATTTAATGTTCAATTATTTATTCGAGTAAATGTAATAGAGCAACACAGCGTAGTCAGTTTAGTCATCGCGTTTATTCTGTGTCATTTCTATCGATACCTAAAATCGCGTAATTTCAGAAATGTGGTTTGAATTAGTATAACGAGAGAAACAAGAGAAAAATTGCTGATTGATTTAATTACAATAATTTTGCTCTTGTGTAAGTAATAAACAATAAATAATAGATAATACTCCATAAACAATAATTAAAATCATAGTCGCAAATAGCATTGAACCTTTTTTTGGATTAAATTATTTACGTCTACCTAAATTGCAACTAATATTTTTGTTTAATTTTGAACGAAAGATTGAGTAACATTGAGTAACAAATATCTTTATATTTAAATAACAGGTTGTAAATTTGTTATATTTTTAAATAACTTTATTTATAATTATAATAATGTATAATAATTATATATAATACAGAGTAATTAAATTAATATATAATTACAAAATATTATTATATATTATTATAAAATATCAAGCATGTAATTATATATTTATATACATATACATAACGTTATCGTAATAATTATTACGCTAGTTATTTAAATAACGTCATAAGATAACATTTTATGAAATAATATAATAAATATAAAATAAATAAATATATTGTAGCATCGGTTATTATCAGTTGTCGGTTATCATAACTAATCTAATTTTATTTGTGTTTAAATGTAACAGATGGCCCGTTTGTTGATCATATTGTAGCGACCGTTACATCTCCAAAATTTACATTAGCGCTCTCTACACAATCGTTCTGTCGAAAAGTACGATTCCTGTAAATCGACATCGCAAATTGTAAATTGATATTTTATTTATTATTATGGAGATGTTATTACCATGATTACTTGTTTATAGAGATGTATATATAAACTCCATTCCAGAATTAGTTATTCATTACTTAATTAACATTTGTTGAAAACAGTGTGCTATAACATCGTTTGTTGAAAACATCTATGCTATAAACTTTATTGTTATATAATTTATTATAATATATTAAAAGTTACTAAAATCACGAAGTTCTTATTTATTTGTAGTATTATAATATTATCATTATAATCACTACAAAATTGGTGACCCCGACGTGATCTGAAAAGAAGAATTTTGTTACATCTGTGTTATCTAAAAAAAAAAAAAAAAAAGAAAAATGGCCACACTACCAATTCAAGCTCGTATACCAATTGCTGGAGAAGTCTACATTACACCGGTCGTAGAAGCTCCGACGATAGGTGCAATGACTCCTCAACATCTACCACCATTTAATAGAGAAAATTTAAAATTATTGTTTCTTCAAGTGGAAGCAGGTATGCGATCAAGTATATAGTATTTGATCATATTATATCACGCCTACCGTCAGACGTTGCCTTATTAATTCAAAATTTAATTGAAATGCCACCAGAAATAAATAAATATGATACTTTAAAAAATAAACTTTTGGAACTTTTTGGCAAGTCAGAAGAGACTAAAGTGCGTCAACGTCTCAGAACCTGTAGGATGGGTGACGAAAAACCATATCATTTTTTACAACGTATGAGAAATATAGTAGATAGAAATGTCCCTGATTCAGTTTTAAAAACCGTTTTTCTAGAACAAGTTCCACAATCATTATACGATGTTCTGACAGTTAATTCAAATGCTAATTTAACAAAGTTAGCATTACTTGCGGACCGAATTATGGAATTTCGACCAAATTATATAGCAAGTATGAGTAGGTCTTCTCCTTGGCAAACCGGAGCAGAAAATGATAATTCAACAATTCAACAACAACTAGCAGAAATAACTCGAAGAATGGCAAATATGGAATCTAATATGTTCAAAAGAAGACCTTTTCAAAGATGGTTTCGATCCAAATCCCGTGGTCGAAGATCTTTATCAAGAAATCGTGCACCTTCAATTGAAAGAAGTGGAGGACTGTGTTACTATCATTACAATTTCGGCGTAAGATCATTTAAATGTAAAGCACCATGTTCATGGCCATCTATGACACCTAATAATGGAAACACCGCTTTGGCTATTCAACAAACGGAAAACTAAAGGCACGTCCCATAGTTTCGACGACACTTGGAGGCGTGCAAAGTAGTCGTCTAATAATTCAAGACAAAAAGAATAATTTGTCGTTCGTAATTGATACCGGGGCTGATATTTCCGTCGCTCAGCACGGTAAAAAGAAATATTACCCCTTCTGATTTTAAGGTATATGCTGCTGATGGTACGCCGATATCGATCTACGGTGTCAGAACGCTGATTCTGGATCTCGGATTGCGGCGTCCATATATCTGGAAGTTCACCGTTGCCAAAATTCAACAACCAATTATTGGTGCAGATTTTTTGAAATATCACGGTCTTCTGGTTGATCTTAAAAATGGACGAATAATTGACGACTACACGAAAATTCAGCAAATGGCACAGTTAAGCACAGATAAACATTTAACAATTACAACATTAAACAAAGAACACAATAATGAAAAATATATAAAATTATTAAAACAATACATTGACATAATGAGACCTACTTAAGGTCTAGAAACACCCAAACATAAGACAAACAGATACATCACCACATCATTACTTCAGGAATACCATGTGCAGAGAGACCACGTAGGCTAGCAGCAGATAAATTTAAAGCAGCTCGTGAAGAATTTCAATTATTAATACAACAAGGAATTTGTAAACCCTCTTCTAGTGAATGGGTTAGTCCACTGCACATGGTTCCTAAGAAAAATGGTACTTGGAGGATGTGCGGTGATTATCATAAATTAAATTCACAAACAATACCAGATAAATATCCTATACATTCATGATTTTACTCACGCGCTGGACGGAAAAACAATTTTTACAACTTTGGATTTGGAAAAAGCTTATCATCAAATTCCGATAGCGCCAGAAGATCGAGAAAAAACTTAGTAATTACGCCATTTGGACTTTTTGAATATAATATCATGCCTTTCGGTCTAAAAAATGCAGCACAGACCTTCCAGCGTTTCATGGATGTGGTTATCAGAGGTTTAGATTTTGCATTCTGTTATATTGATGATCTTCTTATCGCCTCCATCAATGAGTCTGAACATTATGATCATTTACGTCAAATTTTTGAAAGATTAAAACAATACGGCATTTCTATTAATTTAACAAAATGCGTTTTTGGTGCATCGACTGTACAGTATTTGGGGTACCAGATTAATCAGAAGGGAGCCAAGCCTGTACCAGAAAAATATAATTTAATGCTATTTTAAATTATAATAAACCAAAAACAATTGCTGAGTTAAGACGTTTTCTAGGAATGATCAATTTTTATCGAAGATTTATTAAAAATGCTGCTGATATTCAGGTTCCTTTGAATACTTTTCTTAAAGGCGCTAAGAAAAATGATAAAAGAGTAATTGTTTGGACAGAGGAAGCTGATGCAGCATTTAAAAAATGTAGACTCGTTGGCGGAAGCAGCACTATGGTTCATCCAAAAATTAATAGTCCATTACTTCTTATTACTGATGCTTCAAATTTAGCTTGTGAGGCTGTACTTCAACAAAAAGTAAATGATTTGTGGGAACCAATAGCTTTCTTTTCTAAAATACTTTCACCACAAGAAATTAAATATAGTACTTATGATAGAGAACTTACAGCAATTTATAAAGCAATAAAAGATTTTAAACATTTTTTAGAAGGACGAGACTTTACAATACAGACTGATCATAAACCATTAACATTTCTTCAAAAATCAGAAAAA